CACACGCCTTTAATCCCAGAAAGCCAGCCTTTAATCCCAGGGAGTGGTGGTAGGCAGCAGAAAGATATATAAGGCGTGAGGACCAGAAACTAGAAGCATTTGGCTAGTTAAGCATGTGGCTGGTTAAGCTTCAGGCTTTCGAGCAGCACAGTTCAGCTGAGATTCATTCTGGATGAGGACACAGAAGCTTCCAGTATGAGGAAACAGGATCAGCTGAGGAATTGGCAAGGTGAGATAGCTGTGGCTTGTTCTGTCTCTCTGATCTACCAGCATTGACCCCAATAACTGGCCTCGGGTTTGATTTTATTAATAAGAACTTTTAAGATTCCTGCTACAGAGCACTTGCTGCTCTTCCAGAGGACCCAAGTTGGATTCCCAGCACCCACATCAGGCATCTGACAACTGCCTGTAAACTCCAGCTTCTGTAACTCTGGCCTCTATAGGCACCTGGACTCATGTGCACACACCCTCACACAGACACCCCTGAAATACACATAATTAAAAGTAATGAAAATAAAAAAATACAAACTGAGTGTGAGGGTTCAGTCCTGTAATCCCAGCACTCAGAAGGCTAAAGCAGGAGGATTGCCGTGAGTTCAAGTATAGCCTGGGCTGCATACAGACTGAGTGACCCTGTTTTGAGCTGGCATTGTAGCTCACTTAACTCGTGTTCAGGAGCCCTTAGGCTTCCGCCTCTAGCACTGAAATAAAGTTCTTACTGTCATCTCCAGATATTACTAAGAGATTTCATATTCCCAGTCATCTGGCAAGCAAGTGGTCAATGAACTTTTTAACTAATTCCCATCATTGTCCTATATCATAAGTAGAAGCAAAAATGCTATAGCAATATTCACTATTCTTTGAGAGACTCCTATGGTAAGGCCAGGTATATGGCATGGCCCTCATGTTTGGGGTGTAGGAAAGTACATCATCACTGAAGGAATTGAGGTGATGCTGGGGTTTGAATTGTGTTCCCCTAGAAATAGTTCTGAACATCTTGGCATGTAATCTAATTTGGCAGATATAATTAGTTAAAATGAGGTGATGAGGTCTACACTAGGGTAGACCTCTATAAAACAGTGTTACTACTTCTAAGAGTCTATGAAGACTCAGGCCCAAGGACACCATTAAGGGTGTCCTTGTTATTGACCAGTTATTGCCAGCTGTCACAGGAACCCAGAATGAGGGCATGGAACAGATTGTCCCTCAAAGCCCTCAGACAAAAACCAAGCTGTGACATTCTGGTCTCTTAAGAAAATATTTGCTGGCTAAGCCCACCAATATGTGGTATTTTGTTGTGCTCCCTGAGCTGAGTCATGTGATCAGCCTCATTGAAATCTTGTAGAGTGTTGGAGTGCCGTCTTAAAGAGCGGAGTAGAGCTGAGGCCACAGCTCAGTGGTGCGGTGTTCGCCGAGTCTACCGTTTGTTCCACAGCTTCAAAATGATAAGTCACAGTGTATTTCCCAGCACTAACAAGAAGAAACTGAGAAGTAAAGATTTAAAATATCACATGTGTGATGTCCCCAAACATTTACATTTAAATACAAACATAAAGATATACAGGGCCTCCTCCACTGAAGATATTTAATATTGCTATGAAAAATGTAAAAGTTATAAACAAAATCTCATTGTTAATGTTAAGGTTTGCCTCTAAGTTCATCTACACAGTCAGTTGAAATCAGTGCAGGGCAAAATCACAGATTGTGGCGGGGGTGGGGGGATGTTGAAAATAGAATATGACGAGCTTATTCTAAAAGTACCTACATATGTCCATTGTTAAATATTTACTACTGAGTATTCGATTTGATTTTGAATGCCCAAGTAAAAGAGTTAAATTTGAAAATCTTTCTTAAAATGATTTATTGTCATCTTATGTGTATGGGTTTTGCCTACATGTATATATGTGTACCACATGACTGCCTAGTGCCCGTGGAAACTGGAAGAGGGTATTGGTTTCCCTGGAACTGGAGCCACCATGTGGGTGCTGGAAACTGAACCTGAGCAGCAAGAACTCCTAACCACTGAGCCATCTTTCCAGTCCGTAAAGATGAAGGTCTTAATTTTTACGACTTACTTTAAAATTACAGCAATCAGCCAGGCATGGGGACCCATGCCTTTAATCTCAGCACTTTGGAAGGCAGAGGCAGGTGCATCTCTGAGTTTGAGGCTAGCCTGGTCTACAGAGCAAGTTCTAGAACAGCCAGGGCTATACAAAAGAACCCTGTCTTGGAAAAAAGTTACACTTATCTAGATAGAGTTTTGGTATGTTAAAGGTGCTTGGCACCAAGCCTGGTAACTTGAATTTGTTCCCCAGAACCCACGTGGTGGATGAAGAGAACCAATTCCTACAAATCACCCTCTGACCTCTACATGTTTCATGGCCTGTGCACGCACGCGTGTACACACACACACACACACACACACACACACACACACACACACACGGATTTATGATGAGAGGTAAAAGCAATTCAATAGGTAAATAGCTGGTTTTCTACAGATGATCCTAGAAGAACTCTGCCTCCATTAAGTTGGGATGGGCACATCTGACTCTACCTCACACCATACACAAAATGATGTTTTAAGAAGGTTCTGTATTTAAAAGTCAAACTAGAGATCTGTGACCACTGCCCATCTCAGCTTTCCAATGCATGCACATTCCATGCTGACCCTCCCATCCACATATGAAGTCTGAGACCTTTATGTAGCATGAATCCTAATTGGTCTTACAATTAAAAACCTGGAGCCAGATATCAGGGTAAATGCTGAAAGATCAGAGGAACAAGCCACAGCCACTTCTTACCTCACCACTCCTCAGCCCAAAGGTCCTGTCTCCACAAATCCTCAGACTGAATACCCGAGTCCTCAGCTGAAAGGGGGCCAAACTTGTCTCCTCCCACCTTACATTCTTTTCTCAGCCCAGCCATATCACTTCCTGTCTCCACCTTGCTAGTGCTGGGATTAAAGGCGTGTGACTCCCCAGTACTGAGATTAAAGGTGTGAGCCCTTACCACCTGGCTCTGTTTCTCTTAGACTGGATTAATCTCATGTAGTCCAGGGTGGCCTCAAACTCTCTGCCTCTGTCTCCTGAGTACTAGAGTTAAAGGTGTGTGCCACCACTGCCTGACCTCTGTGGCTAACTCTGGCTGGATATGCCCTCTGATCTTCAGACAAACTTTATGTTAGAACATATAGAGAATATCACCACACCCTTGCACTCAGCCTCTTGGTACAGCCCACTTGAACTGACCGGTCCTGTGTGAGGTCAGAGACCCACAACTCCATGGTTAGCGCCACCCCACCCCCCACCCCAGCCACCTGTGAGTTAACTAGCCAAGCCAGGATGACCTCAGATCACACCACTCAAAATTTTCTCTGATGCTGAACTTCCGCCAAGCCAAGCCAAGCTGGGGTAATAGCAAACACCACACCAAGCATTCAGCACAGAACTTTCAAGAACTGTAAGGTCAGAACCCATCTACAGAGCCACTTCCAGACTTCCAGACCAGTGTATGAGGCAGTAACCACCTAAGACTGTTCCAGAATAGTCATCAAAATGAGAGAAGACAAAGTGGATGTCCATCATAGGACCTCAGCTGTAAGACAACCTTCTCGGAGCCAAGACAGGAATGTAAGACACCACCGAGGGAACACAGCAGTGAATGGTTCTACTCTGGAGCTCTGTCTAGTTTTGCAGTTGGAATTTTACTCTACGGCGGTGGTTCTCAACCTCCCTAATACTGTGACCCTCCCTCATGTTGTGGTGACCCCCAAACTTAAAATTATTTTGTTGCTACTTTATAACTAATTTTGCTACTGTTGTGAACTGTAATGTTGTGTAATGTAAATATC